GCATTGCCTCGATAAATTCAAGCATTAATAAGGACTGTATACGGGCTGGGGTTGCAGCTCAGTGGTACAGCACTTGCCTCACACATGTGAGGCCCTGGGTTCGATCCTCAGCACCACATAAAAATAAATAAAATAAAGGTATTGTGTCCAACTACAAATAAAACATAAATTTTTAAAAAAATTTAAAAATAAGGACTGTATCATCACAGAAAACTATATTCCTTAATTCCAAAAGGACTGTCAAAACTGGTACCAACTAGGCATGGTGGTGCACACCAGTGACTGGGGAAGCTGAAGCAGGAGGATCACAAGTTCAAGGCCAGCTTTAGCAATTTAGCAAGGCCTGAAGGAACTCAGCAAGACCCGGTTTTAAAATAAAAAAATAGAAGGGACTGGGAATGTGGCTCAATGGTTAAGCTCCCTTGGGTTCAATCCCTGATATAATAATAATAAAAAAAAATTGATACTGAAAAAAATGGAGAGCCATGAACAATACTACATTAAGGGGGAAAAAAACACTTAACTATTATATGAACAGCAATGTCAGGCTTTTGTATTATTCCATTTAATTTTCACAAAACCCTGCAAGAATGAGGAAGCAAGTTTGAAAGGCAATATACAATTATTCAGCAGTAAAACTGAATGAACCTAGGTCTATCCCACTGCAAAGGTGATTGTTGCTCTACACACCACCTGCCTTTTCTAGCTAAACAGATGTATACTTAATACAAGCTAACCAGGCAAAAATGTATCTGAATATATGAGCATCTTTTTTTTAACTAGGCTATCTGCCTTATGAAATCAAATTGATATGGAAGATTTTCAGCAACATTCAAAATATGAATATCATCTTGCTTTATTCACCTGCCTTATTTGTTCACTATTAAAAAGAAATTTAAGTCTCTCCAAAATTTATCAGTTTCAAGAAATAAAGTGCCAAAATAAATATTTAAATTAGATATTTATCAATAATGATATCAGTGGGTAGCCCACTTAAAACACTTTTCACATATTGGCACATGCCTGTAATTCTCAGAAGGCTAAGGGGAGGATCTGGAGTTTGAGCCCAGACTAGGCAACACAGCAAGACCCCCATCTCAAAAAAATACAAAAACAAGAAAAAAAAAAAAAAGGAAACCAAGACAATTTTTCCTTGTAGCAAGAAGATACTGCTGCAGAATAATGAGAGCAAATTACAGTTAAAAAAACTGTCGCTGGGCATGGTGGCACACACCATGCAGTTCAGGAGGCTGAGACAGGGGAATTGCAAGTTCCAAACCAGCCTCAACCTACGCAGCAAGGCCCTAGCAACTCAGTGAGACCCTGTCTCTAAATAAAATACAAGAAAGGGCTGGAGATATGTGGCTCAGTGGATAAGCGCCCCCTGGATTCAATTCCCAGTACCAAAAAAAAAAAAAAAAATTATACTAAATATGAACAAAGTATGAAAGAGAAAACAGAAATAGTAACAGTTGTTATGTTTTACTTTTAAAAATTTCCTTTAAAAATACCTTCAGGGCTGGGGTTGTGGCTCAGCGGTAGAGCGCTCGCTTAGCATGTGCAAGGCCCTGAGTTCCAYCCTCAGCGCCACATAAAAATAAATAAATAAAATAAAGGTATTGTGTCCAACTACAACTAGAAAATAGATATTTTTAAAAATAAGTAAAAAATAAAAATAACAAATACCTTCAAATATGATAACATTTAGGGGGGTGAGGTTTAAGGATTGAACCAGAGGCACTTTACCACCACATCCCCAGTCTTCTATTTTTCTAYTTTTGGAACACGGTCTTGCTAAATTGCTAAGCATCTCACTAAGTTGCTGAGGCTGGCCTTGAACTTGCAATCCTCCTGCCTCAGCCTCCCAAGTGGCTAGAATTATAGGCATGCATAAACCATCCCCAGCCCATGACTTTTAAAAATACCTCTATTGGAATATATGAATACTCAAAACTCAACTCTTCTCTCTCTCTCTCTCTCTCTCTCTCTCTCTCTCTCTCTCTCTCTCTATGTCTCTCTCTCTTTCTTTCTTTTGTACTGGAGATTGCACTCAGGGACACTCAACCTCATCCCCAGGCTATTTTGTATTTTACTTAAAGACAGGGTCCCACTGAGTTGCTTAGCACCTCGCTTTTACTGAGGCTGGCTTTGAATTTTCGATCCTCTTGCCTCAGCCTTCTGAGCTGCTGGGATTACAGGCTTCCGCTACTGCACCCAAACTATTCTTTGCTAGAGAATAAATGTTCCTTTGACTAGCAAAGAAAGCTGTTTTCTTTTGAACTATGAAAAAAATCCTACTTGTAAACACCTTTTACAAAGACAAGAAGAAAGGTATCTGTGGAACTTCAGTGTGTTTTCTGCTACAAAAGGTGAATGGTTCAAAGAGTAAAAATCTTTTGTAATGGTTGATGTCTCAGGAATAAGCTGGATATTCAATGTTTTGGGGAAGTTTTTAGTCTAAATTAACAATCAGTAAAGTATTTTGTTTGTTTACTGTATCCCTGCTGTTTTTGCTATCCTCCTGCCTCAGCCTACCAATCTGCTGGGATTATAGGCATGAGCCACTGCATCTGGCTCCTGTTCTGATTTTAAAACTCCAGATTTTGTTTAAAAAAGAAAAAAGCTCTACTTTTCTATAATCTTGCCAAAACAGGTGTCAACAGGGGGTGAAATTATTTTTATGTATAAATTTTAAAAATAGCTAAAATAAATTGACCACTAATTGATTTTCATTTTTATTTTTTAATCAAAATAATATTGTTTTAACAACAACCAATAAGTATTTACAACTCATAAGAGAAAATAATTAAAGATACGATGTCATTTGAAACGTAAGTTCATTCCTTATGTTTATATATAACTCATTCACCTAGCATGTAAGAGGCTCTGGGTTTAATCCTTCACACCACAAAAAAATCTAAAAGAATAAAAATACTTCAATTTAACAAGAAATGTAGTCTTTATTCCCACCTCAAATTTTAGGTCAAAATCTCAAATATTTTCTACTAATTTACCTTAGGATAACACTAAAATAAAGAAACATCAGTTTTTTTGATTACTTATTATTAAAATTCAGAACTGTAAGTACAAATTAAACTGTAAAAAACAAGCATGTTCAACACTCAGAAGAATGGTTCATCTGGCTAGACCAGCATCCATTTTATAAGAGAAAAAACATGATTTTTTAAAAATTTTTCTTTAGTTGCAGATGGACACAATATCTTTATTTACTTATTTTTACGTAGGCTTAGGATCGAACCCAGTGCCTCACGTGTGTGACACAGGCACTCTACCACTGAGCTACAGCCCCAGCCCAGAAAAATATGACTTTAATGGCCCATCTACWAATGAATCCTCTTTCATATTTTTGCAGACATTCTGTTATAACCTCTGAATAAAACTGTTTAAACACTCCAAAATGTTTTTACTATTCCAAAAAGTATATTCTATGTTTTAACTTCTAATTTATGCCTTCCCAAAATGAAATTTATAAACAAATAATCTGCATGAACAAAAGTACAACGTCATATGACTTTAACACCAATGAATGGGCAGCTCAAATCATGTTCAAAATTGGGGTTGGGGCTGTAGTTCAGTGGCAGAACGCTTGCCTAGTATGTATGGGGCACTGGGTTTGATCCTCCGAACCACATAAAAATAAACAAATAAAAGCATTTTGCCTGTTTACAATTAGGAAAAAAAAAACATTTCACTATCATTTCTCTTATTTTGTCAGTTTCTCACTACAAAAATACCTTTAAAGATAAATATTTGTATTCTCCCAAGTTTGACATTTTTTAAATGAATCAACCAAGCTTTCAGTTAATATTAGTATTCCCAATTCCCATTTGTTCAACAAATATGTATTTGCATAATCATAATCATTGTTACCACAGTAACCATAATCCTCACCTACCACTTTTAATTTCTCAGAAGAGTGTAAAAACAAAGCTACAGAAATTTCTGAAATGTTTTAAAACTCCTAGAAGTTTCTATCCAAACTGAAGTTAACAAATGGTTGAAAAAAGATTTCACTACAGCAACCCTAGAGAAAGATGAAGGAATGAACTTACGTTTCAAAACAACGATCCACGTTGTCTGACATCAAAAGCAGCATGCATAGCTGTTCAAGGGCTATTAGTTGCATGTCCCTTTCATCTCCTTGTCCCATCTGTAGCCATTCCAGCAATGTATCCGGATCCACATCTGCCATGTTTTTTTAAAAGCCTCTTTGCTTAAATTAAAAAAAAAAAAAAAAAAAAAGTGGGGGGGTCACTTAAAGTCCAGGACTCATCAGATTAGTTTAATTATTTTTCTTTTATATCTAACTAAATCAAGTTTTCCTGGTGTTCACCAAGGAATTAAAAACCCTACATAAGTTTAGATACAGTGCTTACTGCAGTTTTCAACTTTCCCTTATTCCTCGGTTTACATATTCAGATATACTAAACAAAAACCAGTTTTGCACAAAAGTATAAGCTGATTAGGTAGCTGCTTAACTAGAAACCAGAGCTGCCCCTGTCAAAGACAGTCAAACATCACTTATGTATGTTCCAAAAGGCAGAGAATACCTCGAAAAGTTTTTTTTTTTTTTTTCCCAGCAAACTTCTTTCCCCACTTTCCATCCAAATCTAAGTTTCAGGCAAGGATCAGGTGCAGTACTTTTAAAGGAGTTTCTAAGCATTTTGATCCAACGCCCTCTCAAAACGAGTTTCTCCTTTTAAATTACCTCCAATTTCACAAATTCTGCTAATTTCTCATTTTAATTATTCCTGTTTTAAATCAACCTATGAATAAAAAACTGGTTAGGAATTTTCGACTTGGCAAACTGTTCCTGAAAAGTTCAAAAAGAAATGTTAAAAGCAAATGCAAGGMATTAACAGGTTACGAATCAGAATATAGGCCAATCTGCGGCCCTCTTTCTCCATCCCCCTAAGATAGGGCAACTGGTTTAAAAAAAAAAAAAAAAAAAATCGAGAAACAACCCCAACAGGCAAGCCATGACAAAAGCTCTTCGTAAGCGCCCTGACCAGACGACAGCTTTGGGTCCCACGTAATCTGGCTGCGGCTGGGGGAACCAGGAACCAAGTGGCGAGTCGCGGTGGACACCCAACGGCGGCGACCACCAGGGTTGACCCAACATCCCTGGCCAGGACCAACCTGACGCMGAGAGGCGTAGGCACTAAACCCCGCTAAGTTAGCTACCTGTGTCTAGGAGGGGAAGTTCTGGAGAAGAAGCAAGCCTGCGTGCTCAGGGGTAGAGCGCCGAGCCCCGCAGGGCAGCGGGTCTCCAGAGAGCGGCACCCGGAACTCCCGGCGGCTCKACAGGACGTCCCTAATCCCCGCCGAGTGGCGGACCCTTCTCAAGGGCAAGGGGAGCTCGCCATGGGCTCCGGAGTGGGCCAGGCGGGCCCCGCCGCCCGCATGGTCAGGGGAGGGGAACAAAGGGGCCAAGCCGGAGAGTAGGCAGCAGCCCGGCCGACCTCACCCGGCGCCGGGGTCCCGTTCCTCGCCCGCCGCTGGGCGTCCGGGATCCCGGCCCCAGGCCCGACCAGGACCTCCCGACGGCCGGAAGCGCTCCCGCCTACCCTTACCGCAGACTCTTACCCTAGCTGGTCCTCCCAAACCGCTCCGGTCCAGCTCCAAGCAGGCCGCGGGCAGAGCCAGGCCCGGCCGCGGCCCTCGAGTTCCCAGGAAGCCGCAGGCCGCGCAGGTCGAGCCGGGCAGGCGGCACAGGAAAAGCCGCGTCTCGTCCCTCCCCTTCCTCCGCGGGGACCTGGTGACAGGGCGGGGAGAGGTTTCTCTGAGCCGCAGCAGCCAGAGCAGGTCCCGTCTCCGGCACGCGGCTCCTCAGGCCCTGCAATTCAGAGGGAGGCCCGCGCAGTGCTGCCGGCGGCCGTGGCGGGGGGAGGCCGCGTCCATCGCGATCCGGGAGGGGGAAGGGTCGAGCGAGTGTCGGGCGGGGAAGCTGCTGAGGGCAGGCGAGCCCGGCGGAGGCGGAGCGAATCTACCCAGCCGGTGGCTACCCCACGAGCGGCCACCTGGGGCGCTGCGGAGGCGCCAATGGGAGCGCCGGGCGGCCGGACGCTCTCACCCCGCGGCCTCGGGCTGTCTACTATGGCTCTCCTATGGTCCGCCCTGGCACCCTTCTCGCTTCGCTGTCAATGTGAGCGTGCCCCAGCACCCCGCGCACACTCGTGCACGCACGTTCGCCTTCCTTTGCACTATGTCTAGCACTTCGCGTGCTCCTGCCGTAGGCCCCAGCGTAGTAAGGCAGGGCTGTGGCTCAACCCGTCCCCGGCACGGCTTCCGCTCAGGCGACCCGCACCCGGCCACGAGCATCCCTGGCCCCGGCCACCCCTCCCCGTGCACGGAAGTGCGTCGCGTGAGGAAAAGCGCCTCCCCTGGATCTTGGGAGGCAAACCGCCCTGCGGTTCTCCGGTTCTCCAATTGAAACCCTTTCTCACAACCCTGATAAATAGGTATTTTATTACCGAGTACGTTATTTTCTTCATTTGACAGATGAGGGGACTGAGGCTCCAAGAAAGCGAGAATTCAGGCCCGATGTCGTCCCCAGTAAGCAGCAGCAATGAGGTGGACTTTCGGCTCCATTTCCTGTGGCTTGTGGTCACAAGGTACTTCCATGGTTATTCCTTTCAAACTTAACTTCACTCTCATTGAAAATAAAATATTCCTACCTCTAGGACTCAATTGGAGAAATTAACTGAATATGGATTTTTTTAATCAAATAAATTCTCTTTATTTGTGAGATAAGTAAAGCTAAGCTAGAGTCTTACTATACTCTTACTTTTTAGTCTTTTAAACAAACAACAACAAAAAAGAATATTTCACGCTAATATTTGAGACACAGAAGAGCTGCAGTGTATGCTTAAAGAAACAGTATTTTGAAAATTAGATTAGCACTTCAGATACCTGTTTATGTCCAACTGTCACAGGTGATAGTCCCCTAGATCTCCTATTGACAAATAAAATAAAGGGAACATGACAGAAGATTCAACTATCTTGATACAATTACCACACGTTAGAACAATTATTTAGAAGCCATGAGTATGAGTTGGAGCTGCTGTTGTGGGGGTGGGGAGAATCTTCAAAGCAGGAAGTGGCATGCAGTCCTTCTGGACCTTGAAGAATGGTTTCAATGCGGACACTTGAAAAGGTGCCTTTTGCGTTGGTAGTCTGAGGAAGAGGATCCCTGTCCCCGGTAAAAAGTTTGGACTCTAGTATGAAGAGCCTAGAATGCAGATGCAGAAATTAGGCTGTGCTAAGCAACAAGTTCTGGACTAGAAAACTGGAAAAATTAGTCTTAAGAGGATTTGTATGGCCAGAGTGTACAGAATGGCTAAAGGGAACTACCTAAACAAAGAGATTAGCTGGAAGGTTGTTGAAATACTCTACAGTGAAGAAAAGGAAGTCCCAGTTATTGAAGAATGGAGAAGTTTACAACTAAAAATTATTTTAAAAGACTACATATTAGACTTAAAGATTAACTTTTTTTTTTTCATGGTACCAGGTACTGAACCTAGGGGCTCTGTACCACTAAACTACATCTCCACCCCTTTTTATTTTTTGAGACAAGATCTCACTAAATTGCTGAAGATGGCCTCAAATTTTCTCTCCTCCCTGCCTCTCAARTTCCTGGGATTAGAGGCTTCCATTACCTCAATGTCAAATGATTAACTTTAATTTTTTTAACTCTTTACCTGTAGAGAGGACCTAGAAGCTAGGAAAATGGTGATCTACTAACAGAAAAATTAGGAAGACTAACCTATCCCTTAACTAAGTTTTTAAAATGCTATTTTCCTCTATTCCCGCCCATTTCCTGCCCCAAAGATTAATAACTATAGTGCATTTTCATAAGCCTTATCAAAAGAATACTGTGACTTTTGATGTGCTTTTTAAAGAATTCCAAAAAAAAAAAAAATATATATATATATATATATATATAAAATTTTTTGTGTGTGTGCTATTGGTTGAAGCCAGTGCCTTGCTCATGTGCCTTGCTCATGTGCTGTATCACTGAGCTACACCTCCAGCCCATGTTACTATTTTAAATTCAACATGAAAAAAATTCAAACATAAGACCCCAGGACAAGAATATTAAAGAAAAGTCCTGAAGAAAACAAAAGATACAGATCAAATTAATATGCTAATATTTCACCTTGATGTCAAAGATCTAAGAATCATGAATATTTAGAATTACTCTGTGCCAGGCACAGTGTAAGGCAGGCCCAGTAAGTCACAGACCTCA